TCAATGCTATTCTCTAATGACTGAGGCCAAATTCAAATTCAAAATTTACCAGAGCTATTTGATCCAGGACCAGCCTTGGAAACCTAACACACACACACACACACACACACACACACACAAAATGTGTTTGTCTTTTGTTTAGAACTTTGAGCAAGAACACTTACACTGCTATTCAAAAGTCGGAGGGCACTGCGATTTAAAAGAAAGAAAGAAAGAAAGAAAGACATTACTACAGAACTACAATTAATAAGCAAAGATGCATTAAATTGATCAAAGAGAAGACATTGTTACAAAAAAATTTTAATAGATGTTGTTCTTTTGAACTTTTCATTTATCAAAGAATCCTGAAAAATGTATTGGTTTCCAAAAATAAAAATAAAAAAATACAGCACAACCATTTTTATCTGTGATAATAAGATTGTATTAAACAAATACATTTTCATGGTAACATTTAAATTAACTTGATTTATTTAAGTTTATTCAAGACCATCACAACCTGACTACATGTGGGTTACACAAATTAATCTAAAAGTAATTAAAAATGGTCCGATCAGATCAATAGTTCAATCAATATGTGTCACGTCTACGTTTCTGTCTAGTTCCTGTTTGCCCCTATTTGGTTCATTTCCTGCTCATTTAGTTAATCATCATTCATTAGTTTCCACCTGTGTTGTCTTAATCATCTTGTTTGCTCCTTAGTTGCCTGCCCTTTATAAGCCCTCAGTTTGTCATTCCTTTGTCCTGGAATAATGTTATTGTCAAAGGTTATAGTGTGTTGATGCTTATTAAAAACTCCTTTTCGTCTACGCCTTCGTCATGCGCAATTACTACAACCACAACCCTGTGACAATATGCTCCATTTAGCAAGCTCATAGTAATTCATAATTCCAGCAATTATGAAGACACTTTGTACTGTATTGACAAAATGTGTCCACTAAAAAATTATTTGAGCTCTAGGATCAAGTTCTCATAATGTGTGCGTTTGTGTTAACAAACTACCCACTAGTAAAACAGCTTAATAAAGGTAACAAATATTTCACATGTAAACTTGCAAAACATTTTTTTTTTAAATGTAGAGTTTTGTTTATAGTAACTTTTTTTATTTTTTTGGAATATATATATAGTTTTTTTTTTCAAATGTTTTGAAAGTTACTATAAACACAACTCTAAATAAAACGTATAATCCTTAAAACTAAAAATTGTATTGTTATTTATTAGGCAAATAAAAAACTGAAAAAGATCATATTAATAATAATAATAAATAAGACGTAGTTATCCACAGTCACTGTTGTTATTGACTTCTAGTTTCTAGCTTTTCCCATAGACTTGCTTTTGATTCAAATGTGTGCAATCTATCTTAGAATCCATTCAATTCTGACAATAATTATATTTTTGCACAGCAACACTACTGTGACTGAAGAGCTTACACATACTGGTGTGGATTAACCATATAATTTATTTTTATTATTATTTTATTTATTGTTTGTTATAAATTATTACATGTAAAGAATGATGCAAACACAGCCTGCTGTAACATGCTGTACTTAATGTGAGAGGAATTTTAATTGACTGCATATAAAGACTCTGTTCTTTGCAACCAAAATGAATGAGTTCCAGTCTGACCAGGCAAGACAGTCTCATCACTGCCTGCACTCATTCACTATATCACCAGCTCTTTTGTATGCTTTCCCTCACAGCTCTGATTGCGCAACACTCTTTGCTATAGCGAGCTGGCTTTGTCTTCATTGTGGTTATGTGACACAGTGCTCTGTTACCATGCACTACGAGTAAATCTCATTTTCCAGTGTGCTATAGCTCTTCAGGGCAGCACACCATTTCCATTTTAAGGTGCTTATATTAAGACTTAACAATAAAAGAACAAATATGTTATTTGGGAACATGAAACCACATTTTGTGCTCAAAGCAAGTTTGTGTTGTGCTGCACCAGTTATTTTGTACTCAGTGCAAACCTAAATGGCATTTGTGGTTTGTAAACTATGCTGAAATTCCTGTTATCCTGTTAGTAAATACAAACAGGACTAGAAAATTGTTTAATTGGTGGGTTAATTCAAAGCTGGAATCTTGAAACTCGGAAACTTGGTGTTTCTTTGCAACTGTCAAATTTGCCATAGCAATTTCTGAATGAAAATTGTTTCTGCGCCAAACTTTGCTGAATCTACCCAACTATAAAAATATTTTCTAAGTTGAAGTAAAAAATATACTTCATGTTACATTCAAACTATAATAATAAAGGGTCACGATGAATGCTGGGAGTCTGCATCCTCTTCTTCCAACAGCTGTTATGTTCCATGTACCTTCCGCCCTGCTATTCTTAGGCTGTGGTACTCTGGGTGAGGTGACATCGGGCGGCTGTCCTTCTGTCCTGTCTCACTTTGGGTGTGTCTGTAATAACACGGCCCATATCCTCCTCTCTGAATCATAGGAAGGAAGCCTGTGACGGAGATGGACTCAAACAATTCATCTCCATCCTCCTCTCAGGTATTTCCTCAGAATGGGAAAGACACAGCCGGAGAGGGTGGGATAGACTTGATTACCTTCATGGGTCTTAGGTCTCTGTGCGGGACAGGACACAGGTCCTTTGCAAATGTGTCCTGGGGTGAGGAATCTGGTGTAGGTTTTCAAAACAAACCGATTTGAACTTTTTATTTTCCCCAACTGTGCCTTTATATGAATTAGAATGCACGAAACAGTAGAACCACTACCCTTGAATCAAGATGCAAACAAACATGTTACATTTAGTATGAGCAGTTTTTGATGTAAAATAGGTTGTATAATTTCAGAATTGAAAGCAAAAACAGAATGGTCTTTTCTTAGCTTTGTGAAATTATGCTACATAAAACTATAGACATATGATGGTATGAAATTTTCAATGTTGCGATTAATTGCTAATGCTTTTATCAAGGTATACAGTATTATCACGGTATTGAAATTTAGTTTTTAGTATTGTCATAAACTATCACAGGTTTAATAACTTTTTTCTTATAACAGAAAGAACTGATCATTTACATACAATACACAAAAAAATGTATAAAGTAAAAAAATTCACACAGATTAAAGTGCAAAAGAATTATAAAGACCAATAAGTAACACTTTACTATATGATCTCATTAGTTAACCTTATTTAATGCATTAACAATTAATAATGAGCAATAGATACATTTGCTACTGAAGTTATTAATCTTTGTTTAAAAAATACAACTGTTAGTTCATTAAATAACACTTGCACCTTTTGATTTTAATCAAACAACGTGTTATTAAATATTAATTAAAGATTAATGAATGTTTAGAAGAATTTTTCATTGGTAGTTTATGTTAACTGATGAATTAACTAATGTTCCGGGCCGGAATGTCGGTCTCTGTTTTGGTTTGTCAAAAACCCGCCCACTGCCAGTTTACCCAATTGCATTTTGGCACACGGGGTTGCCAGTTGGCGGAAAACACAGCGCATTTCATTTCAGTCATGGAAGCTGGCAAACGAAAAGGGTCAGAGCGGGAAATAGAACTTTCTGCCTATCCTAAAAAGCCTCGACATCCATCCAAAAAACGTTATGATCAACAACGGTATAATAAAAGCAGAATAAATATTGGAGATGCGTTTGAGAGATGGTTGTTGGTGTCGTCAATCTGGCAACCTGCGTGTGCATCAAGTCTGAGGAGGAGGGGCCGGGTGAAAAAAACCCTCTCCAATATTTTGAATTTGGACTGCAATAGTTCAACCACTCGGTGTCAATCATACATACAGCACCTTTAATGTAGCCTAAAGTGTGACCAAACAATAAAGAATCAAAACATTTTCAAACAATATCTAGGGCATGTTGTAATCCAGATTAAAATGTAAAAAAAGTTTGAAAATAAATAGCCTATTAAGTCTAAATATTTAAGTATTTGGTGCTGTGTCACCACTGCGAATACAAAAATCTGAATGGCTGTTTAAACCATAGATATGTATCTATGGTTTAAACCATTTAAATACATTTTTAGAAAGTAGTGCAGCTCCTTTGTTTATGGGGTTTCCGGGGTAAAGGCTGCATTTCTGCAGTTTAGCGCCATCTACTGTCAGAGAGTGAATGTGCGCTTTCATCCAGAGCGTCTCTCACATGTTCCACCATGAGCTTCTCATCTGTGCTTGTTTACAGCAGAGTGCGCACTTGTCTTTCACGCAGCATACAGCTATGTTGTGGATTGTGACCATTTGATAGGGAAAATATTCTTAAAATGCATTCAAAAAATCTGAATAATTTGTAATAAAGAATTATTCATGGTATTTTGAAGTGCCCACGATAACAATACCATACACATTCATTACCTTGATATATTGCATTGCCGAATCCCGGCACATGTCTACAGGGCCGTTTCTAGGCATAGGCGAGCTAGGCGGTCGCCTAGGGCGCCACCAGCTAAAGGGGTGCCAATGAGCGCACGTACTGGCACTTTTAGCAGGGTTGTGATAAAGAGTGGCACGGTCACCCTGAAATACGACTGCCGTCCCCACTGGATCCCCCAACATTATTGGGCTAGAGTACTGTCAATCTGACGATGCCTGTATGCCACTAGATCAGAGTGCTGTCAATTGCTGCCTGATTGTTGCATGCAAAGTTTGCATTTGGAGCGCTCAACAAAGCCGTTAGATCAGTGGGCTCTGTCAGTGCTTTGGCAAGGTAACACTTTTTTTTGCCATGCAATAAAACTAAGTTCAAAGGCCAATTTAAAATATTGGTACAGTAAATAAAGTGCACAAAATCAGTATTTTGTTTAGGCAGTATTTGTGTCACTTTTGTGTTACACACCATGTAATATTCCCATATAAACTTTAACATCCCATTAAAAAATATTTGTATAGTAAAATTCGCTAATTCACAAGATCAATACATCCTTTATTAGACCGCTTTGTCGAGTTAAATGCATTCTTACGGAGGTGTCGAAATGCTGAATCAATTAATTCACTTCCAAAAGCGCTTAATGGGAGCAGCATCATAGAGGGCAGAGCGTCACGTTATTTAAAAGGGGATGTTAACGCGTTAACGAGTAGCGAATGATTAAGTAGCTGCATTGGTTACTTTTATGCCACTGATAAAGCTTTTATATGTAGTTTGGGGTAACAAAGGGGTTTTATAGGTTTGACTGAAATAATAATGCAATAACTGACACTTTAAATCAATGTTTCAAGAAACAACAACAAAAAGATTTCGCCTAGGGCGTCAAATTGGCTAGAAACGGCCCTGCATATCTACATAAAACACATCTTTACGAAACCGAAAGAGCAGACGGGCTGAATGAGAATGCAAATTCATTCTCTGCCAACAGGTGGCGCTTATATAATAGCAGGAATACATCGTTTCCTTAGCTATTCCTGTAAACAGAGCAGCGCTACGCTTTTAAATACATAGGCATTATATGAAGGTAAGATGAAAAGAAAATGCCTATCAGACAAGTCTGTGTTATTCTTTAGCATCTCTGGCTTCTGTTAACAGACGTTTACAGTTGATTTGTTTGCCCAATTAAATAATTATTTGTGTGTTATTAATACTTCTCTAACCATTAGTCAGAAGTGTATGCATCAATAGGGATTTCCTCTTAATTCACAATGCTGTCGATGTTGCTAAGCCACTTGTACCGGTATGCCGGTTTTTTAATAAAAATTCATACTGTGTGCATAATTCAAACTGGTTTACCGTTTGAACTGGTATATCACCCAGCAATACTGTGTTGTTTTATAGGCCTACATATTATTACATTTCACATCCTTTATTTATTTGAGAATTTTCAGATACCTTATAGTTTTTATTGCTTTACATTTGCTCCAGACCTATAATGTCATCATTTCAAATATTAAATTGTTATTAAAATAAGTATCTTATGCTTACCAAGGCTGCATTTGTTTGATCAAAAATACAGTAAAGTAATATTGTAATATTGTGAAATTTTAACAGCCAGTCTTCAGTGTCACATGTTTCCGTCAGAAATCATTCTAATATGATTATGCTAAAAATCTTTATTATTCTTAATTAATCTTAATTTTGCCTTATTGTGTCTTTTTAAGATACACAGAATTCTAGCGATTAAATTATCCCCAAAATGTGTAAATTGTCAATTTCATCATCACAGAATGCTCTTAAACACAATATAAACTTTACAGTGGAGTAAATACAGTCCAACGTTTTTTTTTCAGCAACCTTCGGCAAATGGCTAAACTAGACTTGTTATTTTGATCAAGAAGATGGCAGACCATTTCCGAATATTAAATTGTTCCGTGACACCTTGCTCAATTTTGTATGGCCATACTGGGCATAATCATAGTAGTGAAGTCTGCACTTTACAGTCTGTGTATTTAGGATATCTATTAGCAATATGATTCATCGCCAATGTGGAAACTTGGTAGTTGACACTACACTCTTAAGAAAAATGGTTCTAAACAGTACCAGAAAAGGGTTCTTCGGCTTGTAGCAGAACCCATTTTAGTGCTAAATAGAACCCTTTTTATAGGGTTCCATAAAGAACTATCTTTTTCAGAGTGTACAAATCAGCAGAGGGCTGCAATACTAACAGAGATGGTTCCCTTCCAGGTTCCTTCCAGCCACAGTTTGTTAAATCACCTTCAAACCGACAAACCGACGGTCCCTCTCTTCCAACCTAGCTCAAGTACAACCTAATTACCCAATGATACCAAAGATGTATCGCTAAATAAACATTTGATACAAAGATCACCATTTGTGCTTTAAAAATGATCTTTACAAAAAGAGCCAGGCAAGGGTAAAGCAAGCATGGTAGATGGTTATTAGCCTCAGAGGCTGCAGGTTCAAACTGTTCTTGCCCTCTGCCTCTATAGCATGCTGTAAAATGATACTGTAAACAGTCTGTCAGCTGGGTTAGTCAGCATACCTTCACCGCCAGACAGTCAGAATCCGACTGAGAGACGAGGATCATGTTATACACAAACATACTCACCGTAGCAAGGCTGAAGCTAGTGATCAGTTAAAGGTCATTTGTGTAATTTGTAATGTTAATATAATGTATACACATGCTGATTTCCATAGTGTGGACAAATATACATAAGTCATTCAGATTTGAAAAGACATGAGTGTGAGTAAATGATGACAGAATATGTGAACTATCTATTTAAGCCGTAAAGAACACACACAGACACCCTGGACAACAGTCAGGATTTAGTGGATTTATGTTTAAAGAACATTTGCTTTGGGAGATTTCACTACATTCTATGTAAAAGCTTACAATAACTTTCCAGTTTTTTATTTTAATTTCCAGTGCTTTAAAGAAGAGAGGAGACATTCTTAATTTAAATTTTTTTTTTTAAATTTCCATGGCATTATCCTTAAAATAATAAAAAAGCCAGCTGTGATGTATCCACATAATATAGCCTAATACAAAACATTTTAATCGGTGTGTTAAATGTCAGTCTGACCATATTGTTTCAGAGTTGTCAGTTGAACCCCCTGCAGTTGCACTAATCTAAGACAAAACCTGCTGGTTCTTTGTACAGTCAAGCTGTTTGGTTTTGGTGGGGCTGGTCTCAGATCAGTGCATATTAACCACACTCACCCAGAACTAATTACTTCACATTGCCATTCATATTTTCCTAACAGACCTGTCTGTCACACAGCAGATGGGCCAACAGCTGTGTTTCTCAGAGATAGCATGCTGTTATTCTCCAGCCCGCCAAGATTTCCAAACAGTCTCAGATGACAGAAGAAAGCACACTGCAGATGTACAGGTTAGGATTTAGTAGAGCATATTTTCAGTCTCAAAGTTCAAGTGAATTTTGAATTAAAAAAAATAGTTGCAAGAATATGAGTTTTATGCTAAATATTTTCGGCTTGTACAGTAGGTTAGAGCAACAGTATGTAGTTTTATAATATTCAGCGACTTTGTATAAATTCCACTTACTTAACTGTAGGGGGCTACATTTATATAATGTATTTGTATGGCAAGTAGATGAAAGCTGCATGCTAAAGCTGTTGTAAATGACTCCAGAACATACATTAAACTTTGTTGTGAATTTTCTTGGAATTTTTCTGGAAGAACCATTTTATAAAAGCAATAAGCCCTGTTAAGCCATGATTTACAGTGAATTTAGAACACTCCAAACATCCCCACTCCGCATCGTGCCTAAAAACACTCCTTAGGCACTTATTGCTTTAAGAAATACTATTAGCCACATTCAATTTGAAAACAATGCCTTGAGTTTTTATGTAAACAGACCAAAAAACGTCCCCAGTCCCACTTTATATTAGGTGGCCTTAACTACTAAGTATGTCATTTAAATTAATCATTTGATATAATGCACTTATTGTGTACATACATATTTTTTTACGTTGTACTTATACTGTATTTAAAAAAATCTGTAATTAATCTATGTAACTGCATTTATAATTACACTGTTGACCCATCTCTTACACCTTAACCCACTCTTAAACCTACCCATACCACCAAACCTGTCCTTAACCTTACCCATATTCCACCTCAATGGCAGCAAAAGTGTTTTGCAATTAAATATGATCAAAATAAGTACATTGTATTTATTTTTTGATGCAAGTACATAGTAGTTAAGGCCACCTAATATAAAGTGGGACCAAATCACCTATTGTAGGGCAACCCATTAGGGTCATCTCTCGTGGGCACCAATTTGAAATGTGAAAAAGTGAAAAGTGAAGTGTTGCCAAGTATGGCGACCAATACACGGAATTAATGCTCTGCATTTAACTCATCCAAGTGCACATACACACAGTAGTGAGCACACACACACACACCCAGAGCAGTGGGCAGACATATTGCTGCGGCGCCCAGGGAGCAGTTGGGGGTTCGGTGCCTTGCTCAAGGGTATCACAGTCGTAGTATTGAGGGTGGAGAGAGCGCTGGTTATTCACTCCCCCCACCTACAATCCCTGCCAGATCTGAGACTCTAACCCGCGATCTTCGGGTTACAAGTCCAAATCTCTATCCATTAAACCACGACTGAAGGTTGGCAAAACTGTCTGAATCGTTTCGTGATTTAGTCTGAATCATTTCGATTTTTCACCCACTGAATCATTTGGAGTGGTATCTCATGCAGTAAACAAACATTAACCTAATATTAGTAAACATATGCTCTATAACCCACAAAAAGAAACCTCCAGATGCATCCTGTCTTGTGGCAGCATTGAAGAAGTAATTTATTAACTGTACCTGCTACTTGTAAATGACTCTGTAGGGCAGGTAAATACTAAAGGTTCGCTTGAGATGAGTCTTGGTGCTGTGCAGATTCATGCTCATCTTGAACCAGTATATTTTCCAACAAATAGTTACATGAAAGCACTTACCCTGCCTTGGTCACATGTGTCCTCTCACCTCCAGGCCAGTACTTGTGACACCTCCCAGCCCCTGGCTCACATATGTTCTCCATGACCATCGAACCAAGCTCAGAGATGCCGAGAGGAATTATAGCAAGATTAAAAACTCCGCTAACCAGAGTAAGTACCATTCTCTTTTATTGTTTCTGTTGCCAAGATAATTCACAGCCAAAACAAAATCAGTAACACCTCAGACACTTGGAAACTATACACAACATTCGCTTCTCTTCACTGTCTCCCTACACCTCTTTCCACTTCTTCTCTGACAGCTATTACACTGATAAGGTGGCAACCACCAGCAGCCAGTTCTCTACACCACTTACCCACAGCCAACTTCCACCCACACATTCTAGGGATGGGTCACTATTTTCGAATATTCGATTAGTTGGTTTATTAATAGAATATCGAATAGGCTGTGCAATTATTATAGACAATAATTCTCCATGTTTTCGGTGCTGATGACGCGTTCATGTAAGCAGAGGGTGGCGCTGCCAATAGAGCACCTAAAAGCTGTCAAAGCCAACAGCAGAACAACACATTGTTTCACATGCATACTGTAGATTTGAGTCAAGATTTAACTGCCAAATCTTTTTCTCAGCGGCTGAATTCCTTCATTCTAGCAGCGGCCTGCCTGTGACTAAACAAG